AAAAATAATGAAGATTTTAAATTTTATTTTTTGATACTCATTTTATTACTGATTCCTACGTAGATTGAGTCGTAGAAAAAGATAAAATCACTTCCCGTGGCATAGCTGCATGAGAAATGCCTTAAATCGAAGTTTGAAGTTTGCGCTTGTTACAAGGTTATTACTAATTTGTTATTGTTACCAGATTATTGTTACTGCAATATTATTAGTGTCATCGTTACTACTGTTGTTACGCGATCATTATTGTTATCATTATTGCAATACTATTGGTATCGCTATTAGTACGAGATTATGAGTATTATTATTGCCAGATTGTATTACTGTTACAAGTTTATTACTGATACTGTTACGAGATCATTATTATTACAATATTATTAGTTTCATTACTAGGGCAAGATTATTATTATTGTTATTACAATACTGTCAGTATCGGTATTGTCACGAGATTATTAGTGTTATTATTAGAAGATTGTTAGTAATATTGTTACGAGATTATTATTATTATTATTGCGATATTATTAGCATCGTTGTTATTACGAGATCGCCAGTATTGTTATCGCAAGGTTATTGTTGTTATTGTTACCAGATTATTGTTACTTCAATATTATTAGTGTCATTGCTACTACAATGTTATTAGCGTTATTGTTACGAATTATTACTAATATTGTTACGCGATCATTATTGTTGTTATCACTGTCAGTACGAGATTATCAGTATTATTATTGCCAGATTATTAGCATTGTTATTACAAGGTTATTACTGGTGCGAGATCATTACTATTTTTATTACAATATTGTTAGTATCGTTATTTCCACGAGATTATTATTATTGCCATATTGTTAGTATCATTATTATTACTAGATTATTAGTCTTGTTATCGGAAGGTTGTTATTGTTACCAGATTATTGTTACTGCAATATTATTAGTGTCATTGTTACTACGATATTATTAGGGTTACTTTTACAAGATTATTACTAATGTTGTTACGCAATCTTTATTATTGCTATCGCTATTAGTACGAGATTATTACTATTATTATTGCCAGATTATTTCCATCATTATTTCCATTGTGCTTCTGTCGTAAGAACATTTTCCAATGCTTTACTTAACCCTGTTTTCTTTTGCTTTCTTTCAGATACCTGGGATGCAAATCCTAGTTCAAGGAACAGTTTTTTTTTCAAACACATATCCATTTGGACGTACCTTACGGCAAAAAAGACACCCCCACCGAATAAAATCTGTCAGAAGTTGTTTTTCTTCCTTTCTTTCTATAATCTTACCGATTCTTAATAAATCATTTTGTTTTTAATCCAATTTGATGTTCTTATTTATTTTGTTTTATTTTTTTCAGGGGTGGGGTTTGGGTTTGGTTGCTGTCATCATTAGAATTTCTATATTACTTTCGTTCTCATCAATTCGGATATATATATATATATATATATATATATATATATATATATATATATATATATATATATATATATATATTCTACTCTACTCTACGGTTGTATTGAGCGCTTTTGTTAGTTAGTTGTTTACTCGTATCGGGGTTTTTTCTTTGGGCTTCAAACCTGTATCTGTGCGATTTTTTTCGACAGACTTTCATGTTTATAGCTCTTTCTTTTTTTAAAACCTTTTTTTCCCTCGAGATTAATTTGATTAGCAAATCAAAAATTCGAGTGTTTTTCGAAACGAGTCTAGTTATCTATATTTATATGTATAAAGCTCTAGGTTATCCTATCGAGCACTGTTTTAAATCGACTAATATGGAACGCGTAGACATAGGTTATTCACTTAAAAACATACCTACACCTGACCGTCACTCATACGAGTTATGTTTACTAAGAAAAATAGAAAAATTTATAATGAATATGAGGTGGCGAGCATATTTTTGTCTAAATAATAAACCTAATAGCAAAACCAACGAGAGCTATGGATTTAAGACCAACGTCCATCTCACGTATGTTAAGGCTTAACATACGCGGGATGGGCTTTGGTCTTAAGGAACTCAATAACTTCGAATCGGAGTTAATCGGCATCATTAAAAAATTAAAATATAGAAAAATAAGAAATAATAATGTGCAACAGCAAATTACTAAGAACATAAAAGAAATAAAGAATGATAAGAACATCTACGTAAAAGCCGATAAATCTAAATTCTTATATAAAATGAGCCCCAATAATTACAAAAAAAATATTACATAAAGAAGTAATAAAGCATTATATAAAAGCCCCAGATGACATAGAGACTAAAATTAACAATGAGGCTAGTATCTTAATTAATAAATTTGAATTAGGAAATCGAGTTGAAAAAATAAACCTAAACACTTGCTTTATCACCATAAAAGATCATAAAAGTAATTTTATTAATAACCCTGAATACAGACTCATAAACCCTACCAAAACAGAATTAGGTAAAATAAGTAAAATAATTCTGCAGGATATATGGAAATCCCTTAGAACTTTCCTTAATATTAACCAATGGCAATCAACTAAGGATGGTTTGAAAATTACAACAAAAATAAAAAGTGCTCATTCATTAGGTATGATATTAAGGAATATTACCCGTCTATTTCAGAGAAAACCCTAAACGAAGCCCTTAGCTTAGCCAAAGAATACATCCAAATTTCTGATGATAAAATAAATCTAATTAGACATTGTAGAAACATTGCTATTTCACGATAATACTATATGGATAAAAAAAGATAATATTAACGGTTTTGACAACCCTATGGGAGCGTATGATGGGGCAGAGGTGTGCGAGATACTAGGGTGCCTGCTGCTCCATAGGCTTAATGAATATATAGACTTTAACAACCATGGGTTGTACCGCGACGACGGTTTAATCATAGTGGATAAAAGTAACCCTCAAAAATGTGACACTATCCCTAAAAAACTGCACTGTTTTTTTTTTTAAATTCGGATTTAATCTCGAAATAGAAGCTAATTTGAAAATCACTATTTAGATATTACGTTGAATTTACAAAATGGTACAATATCCCCGTATAAAAAAAGAGAACCAGGAACCCCAATATTTAAACATAAAATCTAATCACCCCGCCCATATCATAAGACATATTCCAAAAAACATTAGTTATAGACTTTCTACTAATTCCTCCAATAGGGACATTTTTGAGGCCAATAAAATAAGTTATGAGGAAGCCCTATCTAAGAGTGGACATAAAAATAAATTAGAATATATTAATATAAATAACCACAACAGTACTCAGAATAAACGTAACAATAGGCAGAGAAATATTTTATGGTTTAACCCTCTTTTTAATTTAGCGGTAAAAACAAAAATTGGCAAAATATTTTTTGACTTATTAGAGCAACATTTCCCTCCCCCAAAAAAAACTGAGTTACATAAAATATTCATTAAAAACAATGTAAAACTTAGTTATTGTTGCATGCTTAATGTAGGAACTATAATAAATGGATTGAATAAGAAAAAAAAAAACTAGGGATAATCCACGCAGTAATCCTCCTGCTTGTAATTGTAGAAACAAAAATATCTGCCCATTAAAGGGAAAATGTCAGCAAAAATGCGTGGTTTACCAGGTGAAAATTTAAAAGGATATGGAGGATACTAACCCTAAAATACATACAGGTGCTACTCAGGGTAAATTTAAAAAAAGATACTATAATCACACGAGTAGTTTTAAAAACGAAAAAATTAAACATAGTACCACACTATCCACCTATGGAAAACTAGACATGAAAATGATAAAGACCCCATCCTTAAATGGGAAATATTAAAAAAAATGCCCCAAATATAAAGCAGGCCAAAAATTTTGTAAATTATGTACAGAGGAGAAATTAGCCATAGCTTTATATGATTAACCTAACCAGCTATTATACTCCAAAACTGAAATCCTTAACGTATGTAGGCATAAAAAATCTTGGTTACTAAATTAGACGTTGTTTCCCGTTTATTTGTCATTCCACCTTAATGTTCGTATTTTAATATCTCCTCCCCTTTTTGTTGAATAAATCTTTAAGCTCAGGTGGTTTTGTGTTGTGTTTTTCTTTCTTTGGTCACGTGGTATAATTTTGGCTATCGCCTATAAATATGCGTTTCCCTTTGCCTCTTTAGCCGGCTTTCCCTGACGATCCATTTAGGTGAAACCTAGGTAGGTTTGTCTGGCTCACTAGGTTTATCTAGGTCTGCTCTACGGTTGTATTGAGCTCTTTTGTTAGTTAGTTGTTTATTCGTATCGGGTTTTTTTTTCTTTGGGCTTTAAACCTGTATCTGTGCGATTTTTTTCGACAGACTTTCATGTTTGTAGCTCTTTCATTTTTTAAAAACCTTTTTTTCCCTCGAGATTGATTTGATTATTGGAAAATCAAAAATTCGAAGGTTTTCGAAACGAGTATTGTTATCTATCTATCTATCTATCTATCTATATATATATATATATATATATATATATATATATATATACACGATTCCTTCGCTACATAAGACTTCTCATGTTTCAAAAACAAGGGCCGAAAACTTCAATTTAATTATCGAAATTAAACTGAATTAAAGTATCAAGCCCCGTGTCATCCTCAAGCAAAAATATAGGAATCCTAATTCATTATATATATATATATATATATATGTATGTATGTATCCGAATTGATGAGAACGAAAGTAATAGAAATATATATATATATAAGAGATAGATAACCCTAACCCTAATTCATTACATATATATATATATATATATATATATATATATATATATCAAAGATACAAAGACCAGTTTTAATGCAACTTATCAGCAGTCAATATAACACACTTCAGCGCGTAGCCTTGGAGCGGGTAGAGTGGAGATCAACGTGTTTTGGTGGAGTCGGCGGTTTTCATTCTGCTTGTGTGAATCATCTACAAGAAGCGAGAGCAAGATCTGAAAGGTCAGCCAATCTAACAGTGATCACATCTCACAATCCTCATACTTGCTCCATATGTGGCCTCCTTTGTAAATCATTCATCGGTTTTAAATGCCACTGAATCAATTTGCTGTGAGAGAGTCGTTCACGGTGGCCGGGCTGCCGTAATGCGCCTCAGATGGTATGGTCGTAGTTGTTGTTGGCCGGAATTCGTTCACCGTTGCCGGGCGCCCGTAATGCGCCTTGGAATGTAAGTGCATAAGTCCGTCGCAGATGTTGGCCGGCCTTCGTTCGCCGGACGGCCGTAATTCGCCTTGGAATGCAAATGCGTAATTCCGTCGATTGCCTTCGTTCGCCGTCGCCGGACGCCCGTAATGCGTCTTAGATATATACCTTGCTCGGACCTTTAAACCTAAAACCAGGTAGTCATAAAATTTCCGAATCTTCGTTAGTTAAAGGCAGGAATCCTTGGAAAATTTAGATCGGCGTTTTGTATGCGTTTTTGTTTTTTTTTTGTTTTTTTAATTATCAATTTTTGAACAAAAATTCTTTTTATCAAAAATTTGCTCCGAATCGTTAAATAAAAAAAGCAATAAACTCTCTAATTAGTTAATTAGAAAATCTTTTAATTGTTTTTAGAAATAAGATATATTAAGGGCATAGTTATTAGCTTAAGAAGAAATAAATTTCTCAATGAATAATGAATTTTTTCAAGAATTGTTTTTGTTTTTTCATAAATTTTTTTTAGGAAAATTTATTAAGTTTTAATTCTTTTAAAATTCTTTATTAATTTCTGCAGTTTTGATGATTTTAAGTGAAAACTATATTTATTAATAGAAATTATCAAACAAGAATGTTTTTAAAATTTGTAATGTTTTTTTTTAATTAATGTATAAATGTGCTTTCTTTTTTTTCTTCTCTTGGTAAGTACAGGAAACTATTGACGATATGATCAGAAAATAAGACTGATAACTATAGTAAATTTAAAGACAAAATTTCTAAAATTCAATAAACACATTAGATTATTTGAATACGTCTAAGGCACCGTTTACCGTAGCCGAACGTGCGTAATGCGCATTACAAGGCAAATACGTGAGACCGTTGAATTCCTTCGTTGCTGGTCGCCGTACGCCCGAAATGCGCATTACAAGCTAAATGCGTAAGTCCGTCGAAGTGTTAAATGCACACGTTCGTTGAAAGCCATCGTTCGTAAAAACACACACGCACGCACGCACGCACACACACACACAGAGATTTACTTCTATAACATTCTCTTCTCCCCCAGGTCGACAATGTCTAAAATGAAATGGAGTTTGTCTGACGATCGCTAAAGCCTGAAACCCAGGGTCACAAACTCACATCTATTCAATATATATAAATATATATATATATATATATATATATATATATATTGTCATTTGAGAATTTATCTGGGAATTTAACTAACTAACTAAATATATATATATATATATATATATATATAATATGTATACACACACACACACGCCCAGACATACGTATATATCTAGTTCTTATGTAACATTATCTTTCTTCCCCAGGTCGACAATATCTAAAATGAAATGGAATTCGGATGCACCGAGCGAGTCCTTAAGCACCCCCAACATGTACGGCATCACGGCCATGAAGAGTGTGTGCCGCCAAGTTAAGTGAATATATATTTATATGTATACACACAGACAAACACACACACACACCTATATATAGAAAATTATTATTATTATTACAGGATTATTACTATTATTATTACAAGATTAATGGTATCATTAGTATTGCAATATTATTAGTGTTTTCATTAAAAGATTATTAGTATTATTACTATTATTGTTGCAAGATTATTCATATTATTATTACTAGATTCTTCTCATTATCATTACAAGATCATTATTATTATTATTGCAAGATTATTAGTATTATCCTTACAAGATTATTAGTATCATTATCATTATGACCAGCATTATTATTATATTATTAGTATCATTATCACTAGATTCTTACTATTATTATTACCATATGACCAGGATTATTGGCACAAGATTATTAGTAATATTACTGCAAGATTATTAGTAATATTATTTCAAGCTTATTATCATTATTACAAGATTATTACTATTATTATTGCCAGATTATTGTTGTTACAATATATTTAGTAGCACTGTCACTACGATATTATTAGCGTCATTATTACAAGATTATTACTAATATTGTTACGCGATCATTATTGTTAGATTATTATTAATATTATTATTGCAAGGTTATTATTATTAAAATATTAATAGTATCGTTATTACTACAAGATTATTAGTGTTATTGTTAGAATATTATAAGTAATATTGTCAAGAGATTATTATTATTATTATTACAATATTATTAGTATCATTATTAATACATCATTAGTATTATTATTATTATGAGATTATTAGTATCATCATTATTACAAGATCAGATTACAAGATTTTTATCGTTATTACAATATTATTAGTATCGTGATTACTACGATATTATTAGTGTTATTGTTAAACAATTATTACTAATATTGATACGGGATCATTATTGTTATTATTATTACAATATTATTGGTATCAATGTCAGTACGAGATTATTACTATTATTATTGCAAGATTATTACTAATATTGTTATGCGATCATTATTACTATTATTGCAATATTATTAGTATCATTATTATAATATTACAAGTATCATTATTACTACAAGATTCTTACAGTTACTATTACATGATTATTAGTAATATTGTTACGGGTTTATTATTATGGGAATATTATTAGCATCTTTATTATTTCAGGATTATGTCTATTATTATAATTACGGGATTTTTGGTATTACAATATTATTAGTATCATTATTACTAAAAAACTGCAAGATTATTAGTAATATTGTTGCGAGATTATTATCATTATCACAATTTTAGTATCGTCATTAGTACAAGATTATTACTATTATTATCACAAGATTAGTAGTATAATCATTACTAAAATATTACAAATATTATTCTTACTATTATTATTACAATATTATTAGTGTTATTAACCAAGATTATTAGGATTATTATTAGAAGATTATTTGTAATCTTCTCATGAGATTATTAATATTACAATATTACTAACATCATTATTATTACAAGACAATTATTATTATTATTTATTATTATTATTATTATTATTATTATTATTATTATTATTATTATTATTATTACCAGAGATAGATAGATATGAAAAGTACTCACGTACATCGCTAGATATGAAAAGGACTGAGATAGATAGATAGATAGATAGATAGATAGACGGATATGAAAAGGACTTATAGATAGGGATATATATTAAAAGGACTGAGATAGATAGATAGATAGATAGATAGATAGATAGATAGATAGATAGATAGATAGATAGATAGATAGATATAAAAATGGTGGAGACAGATAGACGGATAGAAATTAAATAGACAGAGACAGATAGATAGATACACGGTGTTATTAAAAGCACTAAGATATATATATATATATATATATATATATATATATATATATATATATATAGATAGATAGATAGATAGATGTGAATAGCCGTTAGGTAAATAGACAGATAGACAAACAGATAGATAGATATGAAAAGGACTTAGATAGATAGATAGATAGATAGATAGATAGATAGATAGATAGATATTAAAAGGACACAGATAGATAGACAGATACATATTAAAAGGACTAATAGACAGACATATAGATATTAAAAGGACAGAGATTGATAGATACACAGAGCGATATTAAAAAAGTACTGAGATAGATAGATAGATAGATATATATATATATATATATATATATATATATATATATATATATATATATATATATATATATGTGTGTGTGTGTGTGTGTGTGTGTGTGAAAAGTGTATATAAATATAAATAAATATATATATGTATAATTATTTATATATTATATGCGCGGTACTTATTACAAAGCGCTCAATATCAGAGATAGAGCTAAGATAGTTTGTCTGACGATCGCTAAAGCGTGAAACCCAGGGTCACAAACTCACATCTATCCAACCAAATATATATATATATATATATATATATATATATATATATATATATATATATATATAGATAGATAGATAGATAGATAGATAGATAGAAAGATAGATAGATAGATATTAAAAGGACTGCGATAGACACATAGATAGACAGATATATATTAAAAGGACTGAAATAGATAGATAGATAGATAGATAGATAGATAGATAGATATATAAATAGATAGATAGATAGATAGATAGAAATCAAAAGGACTCAGATAGATAGAAAGACAGATATTACAAGGAGTGAGATAGATAGATAGATAGATAGATAGATAGATAGATAGATAGATAGATAGATAGATAGATAGACACAGAAATCTATTAAAAGGACTGAGATAGATAGATAGATTGATAGAAAGATAGATACAAAGAAAAAAGGACTTAGATAGATATGAAAGGGATAGATAGATAGATAGATAGATGTGAAAATGAGTTAGATGGATATATAGATAGACAGATAGATATGAAAAGGACTTAGGGAGATAGATAGATAGACAGATAGATATGCAAAGGACATGGATTGATAGAGAGATAGATAGATCTTAAAAGGACTGAGATAGATCGCTCGATCGATAGATAGATACATATTAGAAAGACGTAGATAGATATATAGACAGATAGATATTTAAAGGAGTCAGATAGATAGATACATAGACAGACATATAGATATTAAAAAACTCAAATAGATAGATAGATAGATAGATATTAAAAGGAATCAGATAGATAGATAGATATTAAAATGACGGAAATAGATAGATAGATATCAAAAGACTGACATAGATATATATATATATATATATATATATATATATATATATATTAAAAGTACTAGAAAGATAGATAGATAATAAGTGTACTCCAATAGATAGAGAGAGAGACTGATAGATATTAAAAGGACTGAGATACATAAATAGATACATAGATAGATATTAAAAGAAGACAGAGATATATATATTAGGATTGACATAGATGGATAGACAGATGTATATTAAAAGGACTGAGATAGATAGATAGATAGATAGATAGATAGATAGATAGATAGATAGATAGATAGATAGATAGATAGATAGATAGATAAAAAATAAGGGAGATAGATACATAGACAGATATATATTAAAAGGACTGAGATACATAGATAGATAGAGAGACATACAGATATTAAAAGCACTGAGATAGATAGACAGATAGATATTAAAAGGACTGCGATAGAAAGATACAGAGTCAGATATATATTATAAGGACTGAGATAGATAGATATAGAGATATTAAAAGGATTCAGATAGATAGATAGACAGATATTAAAATGACTGAGATAGATAGATAGATAGATATTAAAAGAACTGCGATAGATAGATAGATAGATTAGGTAGATAGATATTAGAAAATCTCAGATAGATAGATAGACAGATAAATAATAGATAAATAGGATAGATAGATAGATAGATAGATAGATAGATAGATAGATAGATAGATAGAGATTAAGATAGATAGATAGATAGATAGATATTAAAAAGATAAAGAGGATAGATAGATAGATAGAAAAAGGACTAAGATAGATAGATAGATAGATATAGATAGATAGATAGATAGATAGATAGATAGATAGATAGATAGATAGATATTTATAAAAAGGACTGATAGATAGAAGGAAGATAGACAGAGATATATATATATAAAAGGAGATAGATAGATAGATATTAAAAGGACATATATAGATAGATAGATAGATAGATATTAAGATAATGATAGATAGATAGATAGATAGATAGATAGATAGAAAATAGATAGATAGATAGATAGATAGATAGATAGAGATAGATAGATAGATAGATAAGATAGAAAAAAGACTGAGATAGATAAATAGATAGATAGATAGATAGATATTACAGATAGAAAAAGATAGATATTAGGATTGAGATAGATAGATAGAGAGATATATATTAAAAGGACTGATAGATAGATAGTTAGATATAAAGATAGATAGATATTAAAAGGGATAGATAGATAGATAGATAGATAGTTATTAAAGGGACAGATATATCGATAGACAGATATTAAAAGGACTGAGATAGATAGATAGATAGATAGATAGATAGATAGATAGATAGATAGATAGATAGATAGATAGATAGATATTAAAATGATGGAGACAGTTAGATAGACAGACGGATAGTAATTAAAAAGACTTAAGTAGATAGATAGACAGATAGATAGATATTAAAAGATAGATAGATAGATAGATAGATAGATAGATATTAAGATAGAGGAAATAGATAGATAGATAGATAGATAGATAGATAGAGAGAGATAGAGAGATAGATAGATAGATAGATATAAAAGATCTCAGATAGATAAATAGATAGATAGATAGGATAGATAGATATTGAAATGATGAGATAGATATAGATAGATAGGCAGATAGATAGATAAATGAACTCAGATAGATAGATATGATAGATAGATAGATATATATTAAAAATGGACACAGATAGATATTAAAAGGATAGATAGACAGATATTAAAATAGATAGATAGATAGATAGATAGATAGATAGATAGATAGATAGATAGAAAAAAGGAAATACTGAGATAGATAGATAGATAGATAGATAGATAGATAGATAGATATTAAAAAGATAGATAGATGAGATAGATAGATAGACAGATAGATACATATTAGAAGGACTGCGACAGAAAGATAGACAGACATATATATATATTAAAAGGACTGAGATAGATATTAAAAGGACACATATAGATAGATAGATAGATAGATAGATATTAAAATTAATCAGATAGATAGATAGATAGACAGATATTAAAAGTAGATAGATAGATAGATAGATAGATAGATAGATGATAGATAAAATAGAAAGAGATGAGAGATAAATAGATAGATATATATATAGAAGATTATAGATACAAGGAGACAAAGATAGATATTAGGATTGACATAGATAGACAGATATATATTAAAAGGACTGATAGATAGATAGTTAGATATAAAGATAGATAGATAGATATTAAAAGGACTGAGATAGATAGATAAGTAGATAGATAGATAGATATTAAAAGGACAGATATATAGATAGACAGATATTAAAAGGACTGAGATAGATAGATAGATATTAAAAGGAATCAGATAGATAGATACATAGACGGACAGATTAAAATGGATGAGATAGATAGATATTAAAATAGATAGATAGATAGATAGATATGAAAAGGACTGAGATAGATATATAGATAGATAGATATAAAAGATAGATAGATAGATATTAAAAGGATAGAGATAGATAGATAGATAGATAGATAGATAGATAGATAGATAGATAGATAGATAGATAGATAGACTAGAGATAGATATTAAAAAGGAAGAAGAGATAGATAGATAGATAGATAGATAGATAGATAGATAGATAGATAGATAGATAGATAGATAGATAGATAGATAGATATTAAAATGAGAGAAATAGATAGATAGATAGATAGATAGATATTAAAAGGATTTAGATAGATAGATAGATAGATAGATAGATAGATAGATAGATATTAAAAGGATGGAGATAGATAGATAGATAGATAGATAGATAGATAGATAGATAGATAGATAGATAGATAGATAGATAGATAGATATTAAAAGGATTGAGATAGATAGATAGATAGATAGATAGATATAAAAAAATGATGGAGATAGATAGATAGACAGACGGATAGTAATTAAAAAGACTTAAGTAGATAGGGAGATAGACAGATAGATAGATATTAAAAGCACTAAGATAGATAGATAGATAGATAGATAGATAGATAGATAGATAGATAGATATCAAAAGGACTAATGCAGATAGATAGATAGATAGACAGATATTTAATGGACTGAGAGAGATAGAACGATGGATGGATAGACAGATAGTTATTAAAAGGACTCAGATAGAAAGGTAGAGAGATAGATAGTCAGACAGATAGATATATATTAAAAGGACTCAGATAGATAGATTGATAGATGGATAGATATTAAAAGGATTTATATAGATAGATAGATAGATAGACAAATATTAAAATGACTGAGATAGATAAGAGATTGATTGATAGAGAGATAGATATTAAAAGGAATCAGATAGATAGAGTGATAGAGAGATAGCTGTTAAATGGACTGAGATAGATATATAGAAGGATAGATATTAAAATGACGGATAGATAGATAGATAGATAGATAGATAGATAGATAGATAGATAGATATTAAAAGTCTCAATTAGATAAATAGATAGATAGTTAGGTAGATAGATATTAAAAATGAGAGATAGATAGATCTCAGATAGATATTAAATAGGCAGATAGATAGATCAGATAGATAGATAGAATAGAAGATAGATAGATAGATAGATAGATAGATAGATAGATATTAAATGGACACAGATAGATAGGTAGACAGACAGATATTAAAAATATAGATTGATAGATAGATAGATAGATAGATAGATAGATAGATAGATAGATAGAAAAAAAAAGGACTGAGATGAGATAGATAGATAGATAGATAGAAAGAGATAGATAGATAGATAGATAGATAAAAGACACAGATAGATAGACAGACAGATAGATACATATTAGAAGGACTGCGACAGAAAGATAGACATATATATATATATATTAAAAGGACTGAGATAGATATTAAAAGGACACATATAGATAGATAGATAGATATTAAAATTAATCAGATAGATAAATAGATAGACAGATATAAAAAGATAGTTAGATAGATAGATGAGATAGATAGATAGATAGATAGATAGATATTAAAAAGACTGAGATACATAAATAGATAGATAGACAGAAAGTTATTACAAAGAGACAAAAAGGGATAGATATTAGGATTGACATAGATAGATAGAGATATATAAAAGAGGAGATAGATAGAGATATAGATAGATAGATAGATAGATAGATATAGATAAAATAGATAGATAGATAGATAGATAGATAGATAGATAGATATTAAAATAGATAGATAGATAGATAGATAGATAGATATTAAAAGATGATAGATAGATATAGATAAATAGATAAAAGACAGATAGATAGATAGATATATAGGATAGATAGATAGATAGACAGATAGATATTAAAAGATAGATAGATAGATAGATATAGATAGATAGATAGATAGATATATAGATAAGGAGATAGATAGATAGACTGATAGATATAAAGATAGATAGATAGATAGATAGATAGATAGATAGATATTAAAAGGACAGATAGATATATAGATAGATAGATAGATAGATAGATAGATAGATAGATAGATAGATAGATAGATAGATAGATATTAAAAGGAATCAGATAGATAGATAGATAGACAGACAGAGAAAATGAGATAGATAGATGAAATAGATTAGACACAGACAGATATTAAAAGGACTGAGAGATAGATAGATAGATAGATAGATAGATAGATAGATAGATATTAAAAGGACTGAGATAGATAGATAGATAGATAGATAGATAGATAGATAGATATTACACGGACTTAAATAGATAGAATGATAGATATTCAGATAGACAGATATTAAAAGGACTCAGATAGATATAGATAGATAGATAGATAGACACATAGATATTTAAAGGACTGCGATAGATAGATAGATAGATAGATATTAAAAGGTCTTAGATAGATAGATATATAGATAGATAGGCAGAGAGATATTAAAAGGACTCAAATAGATATATAGATTGATAGATAGATAGATAGATAGATATTAAAAGGACTGCGATAGATAGATAGATAGATAGATTCTATTTATTATTGCAAAATACAATAATTGTGGCATATGGCCTTGAAGTGGGGGTTGGGTTTGAGGTTGGTCATCCTTACCTACCCTATACCTAGCTAACCCGATTCACGACCCATTCATTTAATACAAAAAACCCATTCACCAAAAGAATTCACCCTTCACCTTTTACCCCGACATATAACACAATACCACATTCACAACGGGACCCTAAAAATTAAACCCCATGTTATAAAATCTCTTATGTACAAAGGTTCATAATATATATATATATGTATATATATATATATGTATATATATGTATATATATAAATCTGACGATGATGTGAAATGTTGGGGAAGGTTCTGAATCCCGATATAAAAATTATATATAAAACAGAAAGTAACAGAAAATAATTAATGTTAGCTGGGCCCGCCCACCCCACAAAATCAGAGTTGCCGCTGTATTCTGTCATCAGACAGAATCAAGAAGCTAACTCTCTAACGGAAGGGGGGGGGTGAAAAATAAATGTAGGGCATGAGGAAGTCAAAGACTGAACCAGTCGAGATAAAAAGGCGGCCGAAAACAAACTGGGGCGTTTGGGAATCTCAACTTGGCTCATAAAGCGTCGGGAACAGGCCAGGAACAAAAATGGGGATCTACCTTAACGAGGGGGGAGGGGGATTTGCAGGAAACCGCCCCGTTGTGACGAGAGGGGACTTAAAAAAGGAACTCAAGGATAGCCCCTTTCACTCGAACCAAACTCGCTACTTTTACCCATCTTTCGTTGAAATCTGTCGACACCAAACGCTTTCTATCAGTTCTGATCGTCACTTTCAGCTTCAGCTGAAAGTGAAGATCAGAACCTGATGAGAATAGCGTTCCCGTCGCAAGGTCCCCTCCTTTCGCGTCATCCAGATCAACATTCTTGCCACGGCTAGCAACGTTAGAAACACCATTCGTTTCACCCCAGAATACGGGGGCGACACATTGTCGCACGCGTATGCGAGATCGATGAGTACAAGCTTATCGGGAGCGATACGAGCCGTCAGCTCACCGACATATTCCCAGAAAGTGCGTACCTGAGGACAATGGTAGAAGGCATGCAAAGCCGTTTCTTCTAAACCAAGGTCACACCGGTAATAGTCGGGCAAATCCGCCCAGCCCCATCTGAAGGCCATGTCATTGAGAGATAGCACGTTGCGGATCAATCGCCAGGTAAGAGAAAACTCAGTGTTACTGAGGTAATTCGACCTGACGAGGACGTGAAAGGTCACGTCCACCGGACCGAGGAAACGATAAAAGACCCCGTGAAAGGTCGCTCGACACTCGTTGAGAAAAGTCGACAATTTCCCGGACCTACGACGGCGCTTAGCCCAGGAAATGGGAGGAGTGATAGTAAGGCTAGGGAAGGCGTCCCTAACACTCCCCACCAAAATCGAATCCTCTATCAAAACGCGGCGTAGGAAGGCCAATCTCGAGGCGTGTCGATGACTCACCACGTGCGGCAATCCCAGCCCCCCCATGACACGTACGTTGGACACAAGCTTCTTTACGGACCTTCTGCTTGCGCCCACCCCACAAGAGGGTGGACAACAAGCGATCGATCGCCTTCCTATGGTCCTTGCAAAGAAGAAGTACAGCCAAGCTGTAAAGGACGAGAGGAAAGACGTAAGTGGCACACGCCTCCGCTCTACCCTTCAAGGACAACCTCCTTCGGAGCCAAGTCCGGACCGACGCTCCGAACTTTGCCTGTATTTCTGACCAATTTTTCTCCATCTGGAAGTCGGGTCCAAACTACACTCCGAGAATGCGGACAGGACCGTCCGTCCAACTGAAGGGCCCCGGAAGAGAGACCCCCTTCCAGGCACCTAATCGCAAGCCGGAAGACATGTTACGGTTAATCTTGGCCCATGTGACCTTTTCGTACCGTTCAAGCGCCTTCTGTACCACCTCAATGTCGCTGTGGCACGACACGAAAATAGATATGTCATCGGCGTACGCGGAAACCCTGGCTCGAGCCTCACCAGGGACAGCAATTCCACGTAGGGCCGGACTGCACGCCCCGTTCTTCAGCCGGCGAAGAGGCGTAAAGTAGGGGCGACAGTGGGCAACCCTGACGAACCGACCGAGACAGCGCAAAAGCACGCGACCGCTTTCCGTTCACCTGTACCACAGCACTGGGTGAGCGATACAGGAGGCTAATCCACTTGCAGAAGTCGGGTTGGAATCAGGTGGCCTGCAGGACAGCAGCCAGAAACCGATGGTCGACCCTATCAAATGCCTTGGACTGATCCAAATTGATCAGCGCGGCTTGCTCGTCGTCTTTTACACCCTCTAGGATCGTGCGGATCAGATGCAGGTTGCTCTGAAATGTTCTGCCCTTCACAGCACAAGTCTGATCGGGTCCCAACAGACTCTCGGCAATTGACTGAAACGCTCCGTCAGATAAAGATAGACACTGAGATAGATATCAGTTTTAATAGATAGATAGATAGATAGATAGATAGATAGATAGATAGATAGATAGATAATGAAAATATATATACAGAGAGACAGCAGGTCAGGTTGATAGATCGACAGACAGACAGGTAAAGAGATAGATAGATAGATAGATAGATAGATAGATAGATAGATAGGTTGTCGGAGTTAACTCCTCCTTTAGTACATTAAGCCTTTCACCAGGGGTCTCTCTTTCCTGGCTAAAAATAGCCGCGGACCCTTCGCTTCGC